GAGGGCAGGCCACTACCTCCTGAGTGCACAGCTGGTGTGTGTGTGTGTGTGTGTGTGTGTGTGTGTGTGTGTGTGTGTGTTTATTGTCAGGAGCCGCTAATCATTGAGCTGTTGGCAGCCTCATTTAGTGAGTTTGTGTCATGCAAACCAGTATTTAACCTGCCCATTCAGGAGGAAGGAGTTTTCTGGAGAGCCTCACAATACCTGACCTTGAGGCATTAGTGGTAAACAAAAGGATCCAAGAAGAAATTTATCTGACCACTCCCTGACCCTCAGATACAGGTGGGGAAATACAGCAATTGTAACTAATTGAGTTCTTTTGTATAAAAAGACAGAACTAAAATAAATCGAGGCTGGCAGTATTTATTGTGAGCCCTCCCAAGAAGCGTCTTTTCTGTCTCCTTTTTTTTCTATCAATCCTCACTCCCCCTTTCAGGTACTGTCTGTTTTGGCCGGCTGGCACCGGCAGTTTATCTTTGTGCCTGTCTGTCTCTCTGTCTCTCTTTGCAAACCTGTATGCATGTGCAAAAGGAGGTCAGAAGTTGTTGGACTCATGGAGTAGGAATTATCAGAGGTGGTGAGCTACCTGTCTTGGATGCTGGCAACCAAGCTAAGGTCTGCTGAAAAGCAGCAACAGTGTTTTAAGAGCTGAACCATCTCTCTGTGCTCCAATTAAAAGAAATTTCATAATAACATTTGTGAATAAATAAACAAGGAGCACAACTTTGATTTTTTTTAATAGTTAGGAAATGAACCATGTACTTCAATTTAAGAATCCTATTCAGTGTTTGCAGGGCATTTCACATGCAAATGGTACTAGGAACTCACATTAACAAATGCCACTCTTTTTATCATAGCATTGTGGGAACCGTAGTGTAGAATTATCCATCTGTTTAGTTTCCAACGACCCATATGTGGCTGAAGGCATATACTTTACCTAATTAGGAACAGTATGTGACCCACACATTGTCATAAATAGTAGTATATTGCCTTTTACTAATATACTTGTCATTTTTTCAGAAGTTTCATGGTTGAGACATTCTGTGAGCATGAAGAAGATCTTCTGGATGGAGAACCTTTCACATGGGTCGCAAACACCAGTATGAGCATGACATGTTCTACCAACGTAACCCCATGTGAAAGCAATGTGTGTGGGAAGGTTTCCATGTGTCATTCACTCTTCCATAACCATCCTACGTCTCACTCTCAGTACAAACCATGTGAGCATGAGGAGTATGGAAACAAGCCCCAGAACTTTGACTCTCTCACAAGCTGTCAAAGACATATGAGAACTCACACTGTGTATGGACCTTTTGAAAATAAGACATGTTTAAATTATTTTGATTTCCAAAGTTTTTTGGTAGTACATCAGGAAACACAAGGTGAAAAAACCTCCATCAATACAAAGAATATAGAAA